AGGGTTAACACTGTCTGAAGCTGGGTACCTGCCTTAGGAAATTTACATCCAGAAAGAATGTTAGGTGTGCCAGGTGTTAAGCAGAGTATTTAATTTTCACATTATTTAATGTCCTAACCAAAATACTTCAGATACATCTGTGTCCCCTAAGTATATGGAGAACTGAAATACATAAATAAATTATGGACACTAATTAATATAGACTAAGTTTGGGAATAATTTCTCTGGTGACGAACTCAGCTGCACAACAGAGGGTATATTTGCACAGACCATTTCAGAAAAACTTAGACTTTTTTATAGCCTATGACAGTGAGAGAAGCTTACTGATGGGTTGCAGCATTACTTATATGACTTCTAGATGCCAGTCTTCATGGTCAGGCTATATAGCTCTGCCCAGGAAAAAAAAACACAACACAAAACACCAAAACAAACAAACAAACAAACAAACATACCATAAAGAAACACATTCTAAACATTTCTAAACATCAATGTAAAAGCAAATACTGACATGTGATGCATCTACCAACACATATTGAATAATTAAAATCCTGAGAGAAGGCACAAAGCTATTTGTTTGAAAAGACAAGATTGGAGAATGAAGGCTAGCAAAATGAATTAATGAGAGATAGATCAGCAGCTTGGTAATGTATAAATGATGCCAGGAAAGATCACCTATGAAAGGCCTTGAAACGAAACATGAATAACCTGCTTGGTGCAATAAAAAGTTACCACAGACTTTGAAAATGAGATAAGCAGCTGCATTCTGAAGAGACATGAAAGGCCTATAGCACATGTTCAGAAGACTGCGGAAAAAACACAGTGACAACTTTATGAGATTTAGCTACCTGGAAATACAGCACCATAATGCATCTTAACATTATCATGCAAGATAAGTGAGAAAAATCCAGACATAGCTTGATTGAAGTATGTTTCCCATACAAGTACGTGGTGTCCAGGTACAAAAACGCTACAAGAAGAATTCTGGTATAATTGTGACAGGTCAATGGATGAGTTACAGAAATGAGAACCTGCCTTTAGCCATGTTGAACACGAATACTCATAATGCCACAGATATAATGACTGAGACACATGTCACCTAAGTTTTGATGTCTATGTCATCAGTGTCTACAGCTGAGCCAAGCCTGTTAGCAATTGAATTTGTGTCTATGAACGAGGAACACAGAATGAAACAGAAAGAAAAGCATTCATATGACAACTGTTGATGGGGTATTAATAGGTTTTAAAAGGAAAGGGAACAGAACAGCAAAGTACTATTCCAAGAAAAAAAAAAAAGATTTGTTAATTTAGAGGCATCTTCTTCTAGCCTATCAATAACAGAGTTTTGAGACACACAGAAGAATTAAGTAGTGGCTACCAAAGCATGAAAGCTCAAATTTCTTAACTGTGAAAATATATGGCAAATTTCAAAACTGGATGACAAAGCTCACTTTAGATTTGAAGGTTATTTTTCAACCTTAGGTATCAGAGTAAGAATAAAGATTCTATGTCTGGAAAAAAATGGATGCTGAGCTCTGTATTATTAAATTATAGTTGGAACTGATATTAGATGATGGGTGGAACAAATGAGTTTCTTTTACTGGTTTTGGCTTTTGGCTTTGCAATTTGAAAGAGTACAAGCTCCAACCAAGTATTTCCAGCAATTGGAGCATTTGAAAGAAATTTTCTTTTTTTTTTCTTTTATTTTTTTACACAGATTACCAAATGCCTAACAAGGTATGTGCTTATATGATCACTGTAGGGTCTGTTTCAGCTGGCCATTTAAAAAAAAAAACATCATTATATTTGACACTTCTTTCTCCACCTTCTGTGGAATCAGAGACAACACAAGTATTGTCTCAAAAAATAAATAGGACAGAGTTCAGCTCGGAAATTTGGGACTCATGAGTTAAGATTAATTTGGCATTTTTAGCAGACAATGAAAAAATATAGGAACACTTGGAGAATGCCTGCTTGGTTTCAGCAATGTCTCTTTCACTGTAAGTGCCAAGAAGCAGATAATGATAATCCCATGCCTTTCTTTCCCACCTCCCTGCACTCAGTCTCCTCTCTCCCACCCCAGAAATGAGCAATGGATTCCCTCTGAATGATCAAATATGACTTGGGCATGTTTTAAACAACTTTCAAAAGCATTTGAAAAGTAGTATCAAAAAATGCACTCTACAGAAGTTATTACATATCTTGTTAGGGATTCTTTGATAATTATTATATCCTTTTTTGGGTAACATTGTGAAACAGTAAGGATAACACCTTAGATATTGAAGCATATGGCTTTACCTTAGTTCAATGTTAGGCAAAGTAAAACCTGATCTTTGAAAGATCCATTTCTTCCACACTGTACATGGAAGTCAAAACAATTAAATACTCAGGTAGCATGCCTTTTTTGTATGCAATTCCTAGACTCTGTCACCATAGAACATAGCTTCTAGTTTATGTGTGTTATGATGGAAGACATTTAAACCTGAGCTGATACATGAGCTCAAGTGTTTCAATTTTATGGTAGCGGACTTGAAGGTACCTTTGAAGGCTTAAGTAACATTTAGAAACTAATAATTTTGCCCATGACAAGACGAATGGTAGTAGCTCTTTAAAACTTCATCCAAAATGAAAGATGGCATAGGAACAGCTATTCTGACCTACACAATACCTTTATCAAAGACTTCTTGGGAGCAAATATTAGTTGGATACATTGACTACTATTATTTCTATTAATTTGCTTTTTTGTTTTTGTCGCTTATAAGACAAAATCTTCTGTTGTATATGAATTCTCCAGAAAAAAAAAAAGTCAGAAAATTCTGTGAGGAGCAGTTATGAGGATTATCTTTGTTGCATTCACTACAACACACCGAGGACTGTGACTTTCCTTTTTACTTCCTTCCTTTACAAAGGGCAGACAGCTATATAATCTAAAGATTAGATACGTTACAGCAGATAAAAGCAGTTGCCAGCCTGAATAGTCTGGACATGGCCAATACCACATAAGTAAGAAATCTTACAGCAGCAAAACTGAAAAATACAGCTCAGTTGGAAGACCTTTCTTAATTATTCTGAAGCAACTGGACTGCTCTCTACCCTGGAGTATGCAACTTTCATCACTCAAGAAACTGTTACATACGAATACAACTGCGCACTTTTACATATAGCTCCATAACTCAAATTTATTTCCATATACTTGAATTTACTTAAACATGCTGTTGCAACACCAAATGACGCTGTGCCCTGCATGTCAGTTATCACTGATCACTATTTTTTTCCTACCATTTTTAGAATTTCTGCCTGTCTTTTAATTACAAAACTTCTTGGTTCACTTTGTGGGTGGAAGTAAACAGAAACAGTAAGACCTCAAAACTGAGGGTATTTTCCCTTCATTTTATATAATAAATGGGACTTTATTTTCTTGCATAAACCTCTCCTTGAAAGCACTAAAGGATAGTGATGGTTATCTGGAAGGCTTATATCACTAGGAAAAGAACTGTGCAAGTAGGGTTCAAATAAATAAGTTGTGTTCAAGTTAAAGCATCACAAATACAACAGAATGTTTTGGTATCTAACTAGCCTATTTTTCCATCCTTCAAAATCATTCTGAAATTTTGAAAAGTCATAAGGAAGAGAAAGAAAAAAACAAGTCAGCATGAGGGAAGAGTTTCAATGTATTTGTTTTTAAACAGCATAAAATAAGGATAAAATTATTTCTAGAGTACTTAGTAATAACCTAGAAAACCAATGCCATTATTTTCTGTCTTCATGGGATAAAACTAGCAGCAGTTCAGAACTGCTGTTTAACTTAATATTTTAATGAATTTCAGCATACTGTTATTAGCAGCTTTTTAATTACAATTGTTGTATACACACATACCAGTGAAATTAGATACTTTGCAGTCTTACAGTATTAAGGTTCTTAAATCATGCCAGTGCAGATGTTCCTAATTACTTTAAAGCACAAATACACAAATCAGTTGTTTACAGCTCCAGCATAATTCAGTTAAAGAGTTTTTACAACTGAAAAAAAATGAATAACAGTTAAGCATAGCTAAGATGGGAAATTGTTAGGAAATAATTATGTACAGTTTACATAAGGGAAGGAATTCAAGTCTATCTGAGGCAGATAAGAAGCTGTGATTTGCTTAGGCAAATATAAAATACTGCCAAATGAAGGTGATGCTATCAAAGACACATCAAAAACTGACAAAAGCATATACTTCTCAGCAGCAATCATCACTTTACAAACCCACATTACTGGGACAAAGTTTTTACAGGTCATTGTGCAGACTTTTGTTTTGGGGAGTTTTTCCTTTTTCTTTAAGCTGCCAAACAGAGTTTAACTCCACCCCTACTTTGTATTGTTTCTTGAAAAAAAGAAATAGGAGGTAATGTAATACAGCATTAAATCAACAAAGAAGCTGAAGCACACAAGCTGTGGATGCAGGCAGATCCTCTCCATGAGTAATACCTCTGGCAGGAGCACCCTTATGCACCCTTTCCTGTTGGCCTCTGGGCTTCCACAGGTAATAGTATAATGCCAATGTTTCTTCCAGAACAGCATGTTTTATAACGCAATTAGCATGTAGATATATTTTGTTTTCTATATGAAATAGTGAAAAAGTCGTTTAACAGAGAAAACACAATATATACAACCATACACTGTGAAGAGACTTACTGCTCTTACTTTCTGTATTGTCTTTAAAAAATTGTCAGAGTGATGGGATATATAGTAAAGTTCCAGCTCACAGAAATTAGCTACAATAACACAAGGCATTTCTATATGCATTTGAACAGCACTATATGCACATAAAAATTAAGACTATGCATTTTTCCTTATATTTTTATTAAGATTAAGTCAACATTAGGTATACAAGAATGTCTTTGTTTTGATCAAAGCTTTACAATAATATTAAACAAGAAGAAAAAATAAAAGAGAGAAGAGCAGAGAAATCCAGCATAACCAGAATTAAAAATATGAATTTGAAATGAGTCCACTGTACCTTGAGTCACCTGTTGGATGGCTAGCATCATCCCAGAAACGGTATCAGGAATCAAGTTTTCCTTCCAATTGTAGACAGGCATCCATTTCAAGATGGGCAGCCTTCTCATACACCAGATTTTGATATCTTCAAAGCGAACAGCCTGCATCTTCCTGCAGACTGCATTTCTTTTCCTTTTTGCTCCTGTCATCTTCCCCAGCCCTCAAAAGCAGTTTCTCTTTTAGAAGAGTGCACAGCTGAGGAATCTCCCTGCTCTCTGTCAGTATCCAGTTCTCTTCAGAGATTTTGTAGTTCCAAAACTACACAGAAAAAAGAAACAATGAACAGAAGCACTTGATTTCTGCAGCTGCTAACTATACTCAATAAAAACACTTATTAAATGCTCAATCATATAAACAGCTCCATGAAATGTAAGAACTGTTTATTTCCAGGATCACATTTTCTGCTCTTTGCAAAGAATTTTGTCCAGTCTCATGTTAGTTTGTGATTCTTTCCAGTAACCTCCTGCTTTATATTCACTGTAATGCTTGTGCTTTTGGCCTCAGTCCAGTGGCAAAATGAGGTATTACTGGGTGTGTGTGCGATACAGGCTGGGCTATGCTAATGTGAGCAGGAAGTGCCCAGAGGAGCAGGCATCTCCCTGCCAAGCCTTGCCTCTTCTAGAAGATCTTTTCTGGGTGCCGATGGAAGGCAAGAAGTCCTCAGCAGCCCTGGGGCTAGCAAACTTGGTTTAGTCCATCCGTGTTCTGTATTCTAAATGACAGCAAAAAGCTTATTTATTTAGAAAACACAGAACATCAGGTAGCAGTAAATCCTGCTGAAAATGCACATATTCTGTCTGTAGAAGACTCAGACAAATGTGTAACAAGCTCAAAGGGTAGTGAAGACTGCAGCTATCAGCTCCATATGGCATCATTCTTCTTCAAGGCTACTCCTTTTTGCTCTTGGCAGTCCATCCAGCAAAAGCTCTCTCAACAAAGACTGTTTACCAAGTAACTTCTGATCTTGTCATAATATCATGCACCTTGTGTATGGTACAAAGTGCTCAGATGCAAAGTGATAAGAGCATAGAAGAACTTTAAAAGTTATTAAGCATTTAAATGCTTTGTCTGATATGAAGCAAGGTGGCTTTCCTCCAAGTGTTTTTGTATCTCTGAATTACAAAGAAATTTAAGTTAAAGTGTAAGACCCATCATATGAGTAAAATGTCTTCCCAATCACTATTTAGCAGACAGCAATTTTTTTTTAATGTTTTCATTTCATTTATATAAATTACTTTATATTTTATGGTTTAGTTTCAGATTAACAGAACTGAAGCTTTGTCCATCCAAAACAACTTCAGAAAACTGAGACTTTGTTACCAGGTGCAATAGGGAGAAAAGCACAAGGACACATGCACCACAGTTCATTCTGCTGAGTGGCATGCAGGTGGTGTCCACTTTTGTGTCCGTTATAAGCGCAAAGGGAAAAAGAAATAACAGGAAAAGGTTGCTTAAGGCAGACCCTCACTTTTAACTATCCCAAGCATACTTATTCTTTGCCTTGCTGATCCTTTTAACTATGTACATTTTTCAAAGAACAGAAGAAACACAACACAGATTTCTCCTTCTTACTTCTATTAAAGAGAATAAACCTCTGTGCACCTATTCTGTTCTTCTCTTTTTCTTTTTTCCTTCTTTTTTTTTTTTTTCTCTTTTTTTCTTTTGATGTGGCATTTCTGGTCCGGGTTTTGTTCGTGTGTCCCTGCTTTTAACTCAAAAGTGCAGTTCAAGGACTTCATAATCAAGGCTTTTAGAGCTACCAAGTGTTTTACAACACAGACCTTTCCCTACTTTCAATAATCAGAAGTGGACAGGAATCTTTCTGGCTACAGCAGGAGTTACTCAGCTGTCAGGGGCAGCTTAGTTTATATAAAATGTTCAATACTTCTAAGTATAATAGCATTTACTGGGGCAAAACCAAAACATTTCTACACATAGATACATAAGTATAAAAATGTACATCTGTACAAATACCCAAATATGGGCATTTGTACCAAATAAATACCCAAATATGGGTATTCCTGTAAAAGAAACTGGCCCTCTTTTTTCTTTTTTTTAAATATGGCTCACTAGAAGTTCTGAAAATTCTGAAACAGTGAAAAAAAAAAAGACATTACAAAACCAAAGAACCATCTCTAAACACTCAAGAACATGTTTTCCATTCACCAAATTTTTCACATCAAAACATTGAGGCTGTTTGAAACAGTATATAATTGAGATTTTCCCACCTCGTATTTGCAGAGTCATCAATCCCAGATTAGTATCTGAACTCCTAGGATTAGCTATATCAACAGACTTTTGTCCCTCACTGACAACAAGGGATGGTTTCTCTCTATGGGTGTGTGCATGCACGGATGCAAACATCTTATAAATAACACTTGAAAATAAGTCCTGTTAGATACAGACAGAACTGCATGTGCAAATCTTTGGGATGTTTGTGCTAATGTGGAATTTGTCCTGAAAATTTGTTTTACTCCAACAATTACTTTTATGAGTAAAAAATTGCATTATCATTAAATCTGGAGTTGATATCATCAGTAGTCTTGAAAATCATTGTTCCTTGTTATAACTTTAAAATTAAGAAAGTACCCTTAGTTAGCAATGACACAAAGCAATGCATCACTTACAGCCCTCCAGACAAAGAAATCAAAAATTTTAAGGGAAAACAGATGTACAAGTATTCATAACAGCAAGCTTGCACCTCCCTAAGCAGTAGTCCAACATATAAACTTTAAAGATACATGAAAGACACTTTCCCAAAGCACACCGATAGCCTGAAATACATACTGTGTCACACACACACAATGTTTAAAAGTTTTCACATCAGGAGGTTTTCATTAACCTATAAATCTATAATCTATGAACTCCCAGACCATGCAGACTTTTCATACTTCAAACTGTGTCAGAATGCACCTGAGCTACCAGAACTATGAGAAGCTCTCCTTTTCTAAAATAGGTGCATAAAAGTTAGTACTCTGGGACACCAAAAGATAAGTTTGAGAAACATTTGATTTTATATATATAAGTCAGTGTATTCACACACAGTGTTGTAAGGTTAGATGTTTAACAATTAGCTCTTGTGATGATCTTACATAAGTAAAGCCTATTTTCAAGTGATTAGACAGGGTTTTTTTCTGGGAAACACACAAAAGTATGATTCTAGTAGTGTATATATGCACAATGTTAAAAAGATAACTACTATAAATCAAAATTTCAAATACAGATCATATATAAAAAGAAAGAATTACTGCATCATAGATCAGATCTGGTGTGCTTTTCAAACCTGATTTATAACAGGTTCCATAGAAATGATGTGGGCATAGAAACGGGGTGACACTATTTTCATCAGCTCCTCTAACATTGACATACATTGGGTTTTTACATGTATGGTGGATAAATGGAGGTAGCAGGTTTGATTCTCTGGTTCTTGCCTCAAAATATTTAAAAAAATAAAATATCAAAATACAATCTAACACCTTACTCCTACTTAGATCTCAAAAAGAAAAAATTCTGTCAAACTCTGAGATAGAAGTCCTAATCCTCACTTTATATGGAAGCAGCTTTGGTAGTTAAACACTGTGCTCTTGCTCAAGAGCTGGTTTTAGTCTCCACATAAGCTGTCAGGAAAGCTCAAGAACTGTAAGACCTATACTTCTGTTTACATATGCTCAAAGAAATTAAGTTATTCATACCTTGGGCAGACATAGGTGCCATGGTGGAAATAATGTGACTTATTCTTTGTAAGTTTTCTTGGAAAGACAGACCACTTATTGAATATCTGCAAATATCCAATATTAGACCAATTTGGCCTAACTAAACCTGTTTTCCTTCTGATGTGTGTCATTTGCTCCCCAAGAACTTCTAGTGCATCCAAGTCACTTCCCCACATCCTTCCACCTATTTTCAGTGGGCAAGAAAAAGTATGTGTTCTCATTAATTCAAAGCTACATGCACCTTTCTGGCTGGCTGGCCATTGCCAGAATATATATATGATTGAGCTCTGAATATGTACTGAATATGCAATGATTGAACTTTTCTCACCTATTCTTCAGTGGAGAAAGTGATTTCCAACCATCCTTGCCCTCTATCCTGAGCAACAATCTCTATGAACTCACTTTTGATACTGTTGTCTTTCTTTCAAATACAGTTCACAATGGACAAAGGATAAGAAGATACTAGCTGAAAGAATTAAGAAAAAAAGACTGACAAAAATCTCAGTCACACAAAGCTTGTGACTTTAGGAAAGACAGCTAAAAGTCCAAGCAAAATCCTAGGAAAAATTCCAAGCAAAATCCTAGGAAAAATTCCAAGTATATTTGACAAAGCACAGCTGGATGGGAATGGAAATCAGATTTAAAGTAAGGGTGATAGCTACTAGCTCAAAAAGACAAAAAAAATGTAGTTTGTACATCACAGAACACAGCACATGGGAATATTAGACAGTCTACTGGAATGATAAGAGATTGCTGACAAATGGAACAACAACAAAAAACACAACAACAACAACAAAAATGACAAAAATACCTTAAAAAAGCATTCTTGAAGTTTGAGAATTTGTAAAAAAAAAAGAAAAAAAGGTTATCAATCACATGTATTACATAAACCCAGCTGGGATTAAACTTCCCCCTCTAAAATTCTGGTGCATTAAAATCAAACCAAATTCACAAATCCCAAAGCTTGCTAATGTGTCTTCCGCAGTTATATGCAATGCAGTTATTTTCAGTAATACATAACTTTAAAAGCACTCCTGATTTCAATCATCAAATATTTAAATGCTGACCTAAATTGAAAAAGGTATGATTCTTACCCTTCACAAAACAGATTAAGCTAAAATCTCCATCCCTTCATCATGCAGGACGTTTAGGACCTGCTATGGTGACAGTAATAACTCTTTTGTCAAAGAATAATCCTAATTATCACGAGATAAAGGTGAGCATCCAGGCAACACAGAAGTCAGACCTGACTCAGATGGCTTGGGCTGGACTTTAGCATCTCTTTGCAGCACTGTTAATGATGCTGCAGGAAACTGTGTGAAGCAACACTGACATCGAGTGGCTTTGCTTGGTATTTGCCACACAGGTGCTAATGAAGAGAAAAACTTCATTTGGAAACTATGTTAAACAATTGTAGACCATCTAAAATGAACATAAGAAACACGTTAGTGTTTCTTTTTTTAGGAAAACATCTGTAAAGAAATTGTAATTTTTTCACTCTATTTTAAGGTTATTTCTCACAGCTCTTTGAAGGTTACTTTCAAATTTACCTTCAAAATTGTAAAAAATGGGGTTTTGTCTTCTTTTAAAGCTGGGATAAGCGTCACAGAATGGACTGGAAACTGAAGTTTATGAACTCATACATTTGAGAATGCATCTTCATAGCCACTATACATAAGTATACACATACACTGACACTAAACACAGAAACATCTTGTGGTAACCCTTAGCCTTGACACAGATTAATGTGTGTAAGACAGATCTGTTTAAAGTTTCAACATCAAAAGTGCACCTTGAAAAAATGTTTAAATCACAAACATCAGTTTCTTCATATTGGTTCACTTATCCAAACGTTAAGGCA